ACATAATAAAGAATTTACATCAACGGATGGATAAAATAGCCAGTTAACATCAAATGGCAGTAACCCTAAATTTAAATCGACTAAATCCCCCAATCAAAAGATACAGCCAAAACCTAACGATGTATCCAAAGATACACAAAGACTCAAAACAAAGGGTTGGAGAAAAATTTACCAACCAAATGCAGAGCAAAAATAAATAAATAAACAAAAAGCAGGAGTTGCAATTCTCACATTTGATAAAATAGATTTCAAAGCAACAAAGATACAGTGGTAAAAGGATCAATGCAACAATAAGAGATCTTAATACCCAGATACATAAGACCCATAATGAGATTTAGACTCAATGAGACAGAAAATTAATAAGGATATCCAGGACTTCAACTCAGATCCGGAACAAGTAAACTCAATAAATATTTAGAGAGTTCTCCATTTTAAATACACAAAATATTGATCGGCCATTATTAATACCCATTTTTAGAATGAAGCAATATTGCTGTTCTCTCTCCCTCTTTTTCTTCCTCTTTCTTCCTCTCCTTCTCTCCTTTTTTTACTTTTCAACATCCTAGTTTCTCACCTCTACTCAATACATTCCTCTGAACACCTGATTCCTTGTAATAATAATAATAATAATAATAATAACATTTCTCAAAGTTGTTGTGAAGAGTACATGAGATTATAAATGAAAGATCCCTCACACAGTATTTGGCCAAAGTAGATGGCGCTCCCTAAGGAGAAAGTCTGGATGATTCCTTATTCACAGACCAGAAGGTTACGGAAATGATATGCAGTTATTTCCATTTTCAAAAAGTTTAACCTGCCTTCAGTACACATAGAACAGGGTATACAAGTGAAATATTCATCTTGTCAACAACAATACAAAAAAAAAGAAAGAAAATAATATTTGCCATTTCCCATTCCTTACCTTTGAAGGGAATATACATTAATACCTAAATATAACCTGTGTATTTCTTCCCTTTTAATTTTTTTCATGAATTCATCAGTTTAAGGGAAAGGGTTTGTGCACATAACACCATTTGATACTTAAAAATTCATAACTATGAGCCAGATTTTGAAAGACAGCCATAATTTGCTTTTATGCTTGAATAAATTACATAGTATTCAAGAAATGTTATTTATCACTTTTAAATTAGGCAACTGAATTCCCCCTCAAGAGAAAATGTTGATTTTCTGTTTACTGACGTTAATTAAAGTGCAAAGTTGTAATCTTTTCACTTTGCCAGGCAAGAAGTTACTTTAATTCTGAGTCTATATTAGTCATGCTAGAGTAATGAGAATAATTTTTGTCTTGTGTTGAACCAGTAGTTTTCAGGGCATAGAGTCTTTGAGTTAAACAATATGTGTTTTCTTTAGTCTGTACTCCTAGTGATTACTATACTGCACAGCACATTGTGGGCATTCAATATACATATTCTATTAAAATCACTTAACAATTATAGGTCAACTTTTAAGTGAAGTGAATTACAGGAAAAATGTGTTCTACATAAACAATAAAACTAAGAACATCTGCCTATACAAAATGTTTTAAAGTTAAGACAATAAAATTCTATATATGACATTACTTAGTTTTAAAATGAGTATAGCAGATATCATTCCCCATATATTCCTATTTTCTAACATTATTTATTGAGTACATATTGTACTCAGTACATAATGTATATGTATTGAATATACATTATGTAAGTCTCACAGTACCCAGCAAAAATTACAAAAAGTACAAATCATTTTTCCCTACTAAAACAGACTGCTACTTCATTAGTAGGATGTGAGCCTTTTCTTTGGAAACAACCTAAGCATCCAACAACATGATTCAATGAATTAGGTTTACTATGAAAATACATCTTAGTGACATGGGACTTATTTACGATTAGTTCAATTGCAGTAGGTTGCCAAACAATACAAGTAGTATATTAACTATTTTGTTGAAAGAAAAACACGGCTGGGTGCGGTGGCTCATGCCTGTAATCCCAGCACTTTGGGAGGCTGAGGCAGGTGGATCACGAGGTCAAGAGATCGAGACCATCCTGGTCAACATGGTGAAACTCTGTCTCTACTAAAAATACAAAAAATTAGCTGGTCATGGTGGCGCGTGCCTGTAATCCCAGCTACTCAGGAGGCTGAGGCAGGAGAATTGCCTGATCCCAGGAGGTGGAGGTTGCGGTGAGCCGAGATTGCGCCATTGCACTCCAGCCTGGGTAACAAGAGCAAAACTCCGTCTCAAAAGAAAGAAAGAAAGAAAGAAAAGAAAGAAAGAAAGAAAGAAAGAAAGAAAGAAAGAAAGAAAGAAAGAAAGAAAGAGAGACACAATATGCTCTAAAATGCTAATGGTGGCTATCTTTGTAAGCAGTATTTATCTATATTTTAAAATATTTTTATATTTATTTCTACAAGTAATTTATATTACTTTTAAAATCTAATGAAATTGGCAAATGTTATTCAAACAGCTGACTGTAGATTTAATTACTAAATGAGTACAGATAGGGCAATACAATTAAAGTGTTAATGCTAATAACAGTCATTAGCATTAATTTGGGAAAATTATGCTTTTTATCTTGTGTCACATATTCTGCAATGCTAAGCACCCGTACAGAATATGTCTTCAAATGCAATATTCTGGTAAGGGTACAATGGCATAGCTATTTTCATATAAATGTCTTAATGCAGAAACACCTTAATAAGAAATAAAATGCCATTTATATTGAACTTTCAAATATTGTTTTATTAGAAATGAATTTACAAAACAAACATTCTAATTACATCTATGGACTACTAGCTAAATCACTGATCTCAACACATACATGTTAGTGGTAGGTAGAACTCAAGAAAGAACATATTAGGCATAGATTATGGATCTGAAAATAAATATAAAGTATTTATGTCAAAAAATCATTACTTTGATAGAAAAAAAGTAATTTTGTAAAGTAATCCTCCAATGTAGACTCTCTTACACTAGCTATGTCAAAGGTAGCCTACTGAACGCATGTGTAAATTTCATCTATGGTGAAATAACGGGAACTTGACTTAGCCTTCCACTTTAAACCACCAAAACATCATTTAAAATATATATAACAACTAACTGTACAGTTAATAGTGGAATGAAATGGAAAGGTTAAAAAAATTCTTACTCAGTCCAAAAAAATGAATAAAGGAATGAAAACAAGAAACAGTAAACAGAGTGTACAAATGCAAGATACATATGCAGGTGGTAGATTGAAATCTAACAATATTAGTAATGACATTATATGCAAATATTATGAATATTCCTAATAAAAAGCAGAGTTAAGAAATTCAATAAAAGCAATACCCAACAATTGACTGTCTAACAGGACCCCACTTTAAATTAAGAAAACACATATTGCATAACAATGAAGGCATAGAAGTTCTACAGTGCAATAACTTATCATAAGAAAGTAAAGTTGCTATATTTATATCCAACAAAGTAGACGTCAGAAAAGAAATACACCTGAGGATAAACAGGAATATTTCATAATGATAAAGACATGATTTTATCAAAAGATATAAAAACTCAGTTTTATATAAGATCATTAATTGAGCTTCAAAATTATTTAAGCAAAATGTGATAAAAGAGAAAAGTAAGTTAGAAAAATCCAAAATTAGAGTTGGAAATTCCATAATCTTCTCCAGGTAGTTAATTATAAAAAACTGGAGAAAGTCTTTAAGGATATAAAGGCCCTGATCAACACAATAAAGCAACGTGCCAGAATTAATATTTATTGGACAATTTTATTCCCAAATGCCAAACTACATCCTTTTCAAGTATGCAGGAGTATTCACCAAGATAGGCTAAATTCTAGGGCATAAAATAATATACTAAAAATAACCAACTCATATGACTTATTTTTTTTCAACTATAGCAGTAAATTTTAAATCAATATGAGAAAATATCTGAAAAAATGAGATATTTAAAAGTTAATCTACTTAACAAAATCTATGTGCCTAGAGGAAAAATTTTAAGGAGAAATGTAAAATATTTCAAAGTGAATGAGAATAAAATAAAAATATGAGAAATATTTAGATATGCCTATAAGAGTGCTTACAGGAAAACCTAGACCTACAAATTGTTATATTGAAAATAATAAAGATCTCAAAACAGTCATTTATGTTTATACTTTAAAAACATGAAGAAGAGAACAAATGAAGCCCACATTAATATAGAACATGAAATCGAAATCAGAAGTATATTAGAGAAAATTTTGTAAACCAAAATGTTTTTAAAGATCAAGGAAAATGAGAAACCTAGAGTTAAACTGATCAAGGAAAAATAAAGACATAAATGACCAATATCACAATGAAAAAAAAATCCCAAGATATCCTAAAGACACTAAAAGAAAATGTAATTCAACTTTACGCAAATTAACATAGATGAAGTCAAAAAATTCTTTAAAATACCCATATTACTAAAACTTAGTCAAGAACAAAAAAAGTAAATAATTCTTAACTTATAAATAATTTATAAATAAAATCTTTCCAGAAAGCAAATGCCAAGACAAGTAGTCTGCACTGGTAAACTTTATCAAACACAGAAATAATTTCAATATCATAGACTCTATGTCAGAAAATAGAGGAAAAATGATCGTATGGAACAATTTGTAGCACATTTAATAAGCCTGGAATTACATAAATATCAATATAAGAGAAAAACATCAATGATAAACACAAACCCCCAAAATAAATTATATTTTATGAAGCTGAAACAATTATACGATTATATTTAAATCATTTTATATCATCTAATATGAAATCAAGATGTAAGACAAATGAAATAGGTAAAGAAATTGTACACAGGAGACAATAAAACACTAGTGAGAAAAATCAAAGAAACACTAAATAAATGAGAGGATATACCACAAAGTGATTTCAATTTTCCACAAAATGATCTAATATTTTGATGTAAAAATAATTAAATGTGAAAAAGTGTGTGTGCGTGCACATGTGTGTGTGTCTGTGTAAATAGAGAAAGTAATACTAAAATACATGTGGCAGTGCAATAAGCTAATAAAGAAGGGCAATTTGAAGATTCAAAACCTTGTGGAACTTAGGCTACCATGTGTCAAAACTTACTATAAAACTATAGCAAGGAAAACAGTAGTATTGGTACAAGAATAGATGACTAAGCTAATGGAACCACAAAAGTTGTCCAGAAATAATCCTGGACATCTATGAATAGTTGATTTATTTAAAAAGATAATATTTTTCAATAAATGGCACTTAGTCAATTGGATACTCTTGTGATATAAATTACTGTTGACTCCTGCCTTATACAAAAGCAGATCTACAAAAGCAGATACCCAAATGGCCAGTAAATGTACAAAAATGTACTCAATTTCATGTTATATGGTAAGTATAAACTAAAATTATTTTAGATACACACATACATATATACCTTTCAAAATGATTAAATTTATGAGACATATGTAATATTAACAGATACATGAAATAACTTGAGCTCTTCTAAGCTCTGTGTATTAATTTTCACATGGTTATAAAGATGCACCCTGAGACTGGGTAACTTATGAGGAAAATAGGTTTAATTGATTCACAGTTCCATATGGCTGGAAGGCCTCAGGAAACTTACAGTCATGATCATGGTGGAAGGCTAAGGGAAAGCAAAGTGTAACTTACATGGAAGCAGGAGAGAAGGGAAACTGCCAGTTTTAAACAATCGGATTTTGTAAGAACTCCTTCACTATCATGAGAACAGCATGGAAAAGACCTCCCTCAATATCCAGTCATCTTCCACCAGGTTTCTCCCTTGACAGATGCAGATTATAATCTGTGATGAGATTTGGGTGAGGACACAGAGACAAACCATATTATTCTGCCCTGGCCCCTTTCAAATTGTATGTGCTTTTCACATTTCAAAACCAATCATGCCTTCCAAACAGTCCCCCAAAGTCTTAACTCATTTCAGCATTAACCCAAAAGTATAAGTCCAAAGTCTCATCTGAGACAAGGCAAGTCACTTCTGCTTACAAGCCTGTAAAACAATAAAACAAATTAGTTACTTTAAAGATAAAAAGGGGGTACAAACATTGAATGAATGTTCCCATCTTAAAACTCCAAAATTTTGGGGCCAGGCATGGTGGCTCACACCTATATTCCCAGCACTTTGGGAGGCCAAGGTGGGTGGATAACGAGGTCAAGAGATCGAGACCATCCTGTCCAACATAGTGAAACCCTATCTCTACTAAAATATAAAAATTAGCTGGGCATGGTAGCACACATCTGTAGTCCTAGCTACTCGGGAGGCTGAGGCAGGAGAATTGCTTGGACCTGGGAGATGGAGGCTGCAGTAAGCCAAGATTACGTCACTGAAATCCAGCCTGGCACCTGGCGACAGAGCAAGACTGTCTCAAAAAAAAAAAAAAAAAAAACCTCCAAAATTTTCTTTTACTCCATGTCTCACATCCAGAGCTGATGCAAAGGGTGGGCTCCCAGGGCCTTGAGAAGCCACTCCCCTGTGACTCTGCAGGGTGCAGCCTGTGTGGCTGCTTCACTCACTGTGTTGAGTGCCTGTGCATTTTCCAAGTGCACAGTGCAAGCTGTCAGTGAATCTACTATTCTGGGGTCTAGAGAGAGGTAGCTCTCTTCTCAGATATCCACTAGGTAGTGCCCCAATGGGGACTCAGTGTGGGGCTCTGACCCCAAAATTTCCCCCTTCATTGCCCTGGTAGTGGGTCTCCATGAGGGCTCCACCACTGCAGGAGACTTCTGCCTGAATATCCAGGTGTTTCCATACATCCTCTGAAATCTAGGTGAAGGCTCCCAAACCTCAACTCTTGTCTTTTGTGCAGCCATAGGGTCAACATCATGTGAAAGCCATGAGGGCTTGGGGCTTGCACTCTCTAAAACAATGGCCTGAGCTGTACCTTGGCCTCCTGTAGCCAGGGCTGGAGCTGGAGAGGCTGGGACACAGGGCACCAAGGCCCAAAGCTTCATAGAGAGTAGGGCCCTGGGTCCTCTTCATAGATAGTAGGGCCCTGGGCCTATGAAACCATTTTTCCCTCCTAGGCCTCTGGGTCTGTGATGATAGGGACTGCCATGAAGTGCTCTGACATGCCCTGGAGACATTGTTCACATTGTCTTGGCTGGTAACATTTGGCTTCTCATTGCTTATGCAAATTTCTGCAGCCAGCTTGAATTTCTCCCCCAAAAATGGGTTTTTGTTTTTCTACTACATGGTCAGGATGCAGATTTTCCAAACGTTTATGCTCTGCTTTCCTATTTTTTTTTTTTTTGAGACGAAGTTTCACTCTTGTTGCCCAGGCTGGAGTGCAATGGCATGATCTCGGCTCACCACAACCTCTGCATCCTGGGTTCAGGCAACTCTCCTGCCTCAGCCTCCTGAGTAGCTGGGATTACAGGCACACGCCACCACACCCAGCTAATTTTTTGTATTTTAGTAGAGACAGAGTTTCACCATGTTGACCAGGATGGTCTCGATCTCTTGACCTCGTGATCCACCTGCCTCGGCCTCCCAAACTGCTGGGATTACAGGCATGAGCCACCATGCCTGGCCTCTGCTTTCCTATTTAAACATAAGTTCAATTTCATTCCATCTCTTTGTGAATGCATATGACTGCATGCTTTCAGAAAACATCAGGTCGCATCTTGAATGCTTTGTTTCTTAGAAATTTTCCCACCAGATATGCTAAATCATCTCTCTCAAGTTCAAAGTTCCATATATCTCAAAGGCAACAGTAAAGTTCTGCCAGTCCCTTTGCTAAAGTATAGTAAGAGTGACCTTTGTTCCAGTTCCCAGTAAGTTCCTTATCTCTATCTAAGACCATCTCAGCTTGGACTTCATCTTCCATATAACTTTCAGCATTTTGATCAAAACCATTCAACAAGTCTTTAGGAAGTTCAGAACTTCCCTATATTTTCTTGTCTTCTTCTGAGCTCTCCAAACTCTTCTAGCCTCTGCCTGTTACCCATGTCCAAAGTCACATCCACATTTATCTTTATAGCAATACCTTATTCCCAGTACCAATTTTCCATATTAATCCATTTTCATACTGTGATAAAGATACTACCCGAGAATGGGTAATTTATAAAAAGAAAAGGTTTAATTGACTCACAGTTCTACATAGATGGAAAGACAGGAAACTGAGAATCATGGCAAAAGGTGAAGGTGAAGCAAGGCACATGTTACGTGGCAGCAAGAGATAGAGAGAGCGAGGGAGAGTGCAGGGGAAACTGTCTCTTTTAAACTAACAGATATCATGATAACTCCCTCACTATCAGAACAGCATGGGGAAAACTGTTCCCATAATGCAATCACTTCCCACCAGGTCCCTCCCTTGACACATGTAGATTACAATTTGATATTTGGGTGGGGACACAGAGCCAAAGCATATCACACTGCTAGTAAAAGTATAAATTGGTACAAATTAGAAAACCATTGGAAAGTATTTACAATAGTTGGACTTCTGCATTATTTTAGTAGGTAAAATGGCCTTCCAAAGATGTTCATACTTTAAGCCCCTGAAGTTGTAGGCTATCTGGTAAAAATGAGTTTGCAGATGTGATTAAATTTATAGACTTTAATAGGGAGACTAATCTGTATTTTCTGAGTGGGTCCAATCTATTTAAATCAGTTATTGGAGATAATTTATCAGAGAGGAAAGAGAGAGAAAGAGAATCAGAGAGAAGCTACATAAGGACTAGACCCACAAATTCTGGTTTTGCAGATGGTGAAAATGGTCCAGGATGAGGCAGCTGCTAAAACCTGAATATGGCCTTCAGTTTAAAGCCAGCAAGAAAACAGGGACCATATTTCTGCAACCACATAGACTTGAATTCTGCGAAAAACCCAAATGAGAAGGGGTTATATTTTCTCCTACAATCTCCAGAAATGAACACAGTCATGTTGACACCTTGGTCTTAGCTTGGTTGAAACCATGTCAGATTAATGCCTTAGAGATCTGAAAGACAATAAAGTTGTATTGTCTGAGCTGACAAATTTATAACAATTGTTAAGCTAATAGCAGGATAGAAAACAAATACAATTGTCTATAATCTAGACTATCTGATTGTGGTTGTATTTCTCCCAGAAATCTATACATAACACAAATGTTTCTCAAAAGAAAAGTGACCAATGACATTGAGAGCTATTTATACAATGGCGGATACAGAGTAATGGAAATAATAGCATGGTCATATCTCACAGTGATAATATTGCATGAAGGAAAAAGAACACAAATAGTACAGAATGTGTGATTTTTCTCTATGACATTTTAAAGAAAGTAAACCAATTACAGAGATGAGGAGAGTAATAGCCTATGTGGAAAAATGTATTTGGCTGAGAAAGGGCCACAGACAGGAATTCTAGGGTGCTGGGAATTTTTTACTGACAAACAATAACATTCTTTTATGGTTAGTGGTTACAAAATCTATTTACTTTGTATGAATTTTGGAGCTGTGTATTTATTGTGTGTCTTTAAGTATAAATGCATGATTCAAAAATATGAAACATAGGCCAGGTATGGTGGCTCATGCCTGTAATACCAATGATTTGAGAGGCTGAGGCAGAAGGATGTCTTAAGGCCAGGAGTTTGAGAAGAGCCTGGGACACATACCAAGACCCCATCTCTACAAAAAATTTAAAAACTATACCCAGGCATTGTGTTGCATGTCTGTAACTCAAGTTACTCAGGAGACTGAGGCTGGAGGATCACTCAAGCCCAGAAGATAGAAGTTGTAGTGAGCTACAGCTGTACTACTGCACTTCAGCCTGGGAACCTGAGTGAGATTCTAATTCTGAAAGACTAGTAATAATTTGAAACGTTTCTAATTGTCTAACTGTCTCTATCTCTAATCTCTAATGACAAAATAAACATTTTTGTATGCTCACTCTTTTATTTTGTTTCATTATCTAATTGACTTAGACTTTATTTTACAAAGACATTTTTTACTCTTATGGATAGTTGGAGAGTCACCAGTCCAGTAATATGGACGAGCACACACAAGTGAACTAAATTTACTTTAAAATGCAGTAAAATATGAATATCCACAGGAAGTAACCAGTTGCTTGTATCACAAATTTTTTAGACTTAGCATAATTAGCATGCTTTTTCTCAAGGGCAGAATGGAGGCTACTCACTGATGACAAAACCTACAGCATTGCTGGGGACAGCTAATTTAGTCTCATTTTTATGAGGCATTTCAAAAGCTGTAGAAAATATATTTGCATATTACTTTGTAAAGTCTGACTTTTCTTTAGAACAATTTACTGTGTTTCTTGGTTAATATATACATTTTCAAGTCTAAAGACTTTTTGTGTGCACTCTTAAAAATGAAAGAGCTGTTTCCGTGTTGGCTTCATTAGCTGAATAAGATCACAAACAGTTAAATGATGTCTGTTATATAACTTATCAAATGATTCTTAAGAAAAACCCATTAAAGACAATGACAATAAAATTTACTTTTAAATTCATAATTCAAAGTAAAGCTTTGGGAGTTTATTTTCTCATATTTAAACATTTGTGATTGCTATAAATGCTATAGCAAATAAAGTTTAAAAATTTAACATTAATACTATTTTGCAGTGATAATGCAAACATAAATATGGTAAAACAGTGACATGACAAACCATTTTCTTAGTGTTACCAAATTAAAAACTAAGAATAGAAACCTACTATAGTTTTATTGCAGTGCATACTTATTGTTTAAGTGCATCTAAGCAAACTACAAAACCAATAAATATAGATACTGTAGTTTTCAAAATTAGGAAATGTTTTTTTTTTAAACAATCACAATTCTAAGATACTTTTAAGGTATCTACAAGGAATTGCAAATTCTGTGCAAACAGACATTTAAAAAAGTAAAGTAGAAATACTTCGTAATGAAAATGCACATGTTTTTCTTTTTGTTGCTGTTATCAATTTGATTTCAGAAATTACTTGACTCAAAAACTGTTTTATTAATCAATCTAAATTTCTATAATTTGTTGAGTCTTTTTTATGAGTCCTTTAAATTTTGTTCAAAGTCATCAGTAAATTGTAAATCATTGTATTATTGAAGTTATTTAATGAACAAAAAGTTAAAACTTTAGATTTAATAAACTGTAATATTCAAAAATAAAATTAAAATACAGTAAGATATCTAAATGTATTTTTACAAAAGCAAAAGAGTTCAAACAAAATAATGAAAGCAAAGAATAAGAGAGTTAAAAATCAAAGAAATGTGACTAGCAAGATTTCCTGTACTATTGGAGTAGATGGAAAAAACTGAGTTTACAAGAATGTCTGGAAGCTCACTATGAGCTGCTATTATAGTATAACACATGTGGGAGTGGAGTGGGATGGAGACTAGTTTAGAAATTTCTAGAAGGCTGTTGCCTGTGCATAGCTACTGCTTTTGTGAGTTTATAGCCAAGTGTTGGTGACTCTACATTGCCTAGGGGTGCCACCTTCACGTAAACAGCTCCAGCAGTAAGAAAAGTATTTGAACACAGAGGGAGAAAGCAATGAAAATATGAAATCTTCAGCATAACACCATGACAATGACATGGGAACCATTGTTTTGTCTATCTGGGAAAAAAATTCTCCTTGGAAAATAAAACCTCTAGTTCTCCAAGGCAGTCACAAGAATGGGAAGCAGAATTCACCAGTGGACCATTTAGATAAAAGAACATTTGTTTGGAGATATGATTTTCTATTGTGTCAACTCAAGTCCCAATTCTGTTTACCAGACATAGAATTTTTCCGTTAGTGTGAATTAAGGCTTTAGTAAGTTGTCTGATAGGGTTTGGCTCTGTGTCCCCACCCAGATCTCATCTCAAATTATAATCTCCATAATCCCCAGGGGTTAAGAAGGGACCTGGTGAGAGGTGACTGGATTATAAGGCGGTTTCCTCCATGCTGTTCTCATGATAGTGAGTTCTCACAAGATCTGATGGCTTTATAAGGGGCTATTCCCCCTTCTCTTGTCTCTTGTTTCTCTCTCTCTCTCTCTGTCTCTTGTTTCTCTCTCTCTCTCTCTGTCTCTTGTTTCTTTCTCTCTCTCTCTCTGTCTCTTGTTTCTCTCTCTCTCTCTCTCTCTCTCTCTCTCTCTCTCTCTCTCTCTCTCTCTCTCTCTCTCTCTCTGTCTCTCTTGCCTGCTATCAGGAAAGATGTGCCTCTTCCCCTTCCACCATGATTGCAAGTTTTCTTAGGCCTCCCTAGAGTTGTGGAACTGTGAGTCAATTAAACTTATTAAACCTCTTTTCTTTATAGAAAAAGATTTCTATATTACCACAGAGGTTTCTGGCTGGTAAAGTGACACCCTAAGGATTCTGTGACATTACTGCATGAGTAACTAATTAGTTGAAAACTTTGTGCTATGGGGAAGAATTCAGTTGTAAAAAATTAAATTTATAGTAACAATTTCATTTATACAAAATGCCTAGAAAAAGCAACTCTTTAGAAACAAATTAGATTAGTAGTTGCCTAGTGTTATGAGAGGTAAGTGTGGAAAGTGAGTCCTAATGGGTACATTGTCTTTTAGAGGGTAATGAAAATGTTCTGAAAATAAATCATGATGATGGTCATTACAATGGTTAATTTTAGGTATCAACTTTACTGAATTAAGGGATATATAAATGGCTGGTAAAACATTATTTCTAGGCATATATGAGAGGGTGTTTCTGAAAATGTTTGGCATTTGAATCCATGAACTGAGTAAAGAAGATCCACCCTTGATGTAAGTAGGCACCATCCAGTGGGATGATAGCTCACATACAATGAAAAAGCAGAAGAAAGGTGAATTCACTCTGTATTCTAGAACTGGGGCACCCTTCTTCTGCCTTTGAATGTCAGAACTCCAGGCATTTGGACACTGGGACTTGCACCACCACAACCCCTATGCCCCTCTCATCCCCTGGGTTCTCAGGCCTTAGATCACAGACTGAGAGTTACACCATGGACTTCCCTGGTTCTGAGGCCTTCAGACTTGGACTGAGCCATACTGCCAGCTGCTCTGGCTCCCCAGCTTGCAATGGTTGGCCAACTGTGGGACTTCTCAGTCTCCACAATTGTGTGATCCATTTTCCCTAATTCTCTCTCTCTCTCTCTCTCTCTCTCCTCTCTCTCTCTCTCTCTCTTTCTCTCTCTCCTCTCTCCCTCTCCCTTCCTTCTTCCTTTCCTCTCCTCCTTCCTCCCTTCCTCCCTTTCTCCCTTTCTCTTTCTCTGTCTCTTTCTCTCTTTCTTTATCTCTCTTTCTTTCTTTTTTTTTTTCTATCTGTTTTCTTTCCTAGTTGTTCTGTCTCTCTGCAGAACCTGACTTATACAGTGGTACATTCTCTGAATATATTAAAGTCCACCAAATTGTACACATTAAATTGGCAAATTTTATGGTATGTGAACTCTTTTTCAATAAATATATTTTTTAAATGTTATCAAATTTATCAAATAAGTTAATTATAAAGGAAAAGCCATAGAAGATATTGTTTCAGCTCATGGAACTATATAGCTTTCTGTTTGTGGTGGTGTTGATTCAACTCTAAATGCTTTAAAATTTATAAAACCATGTACCAATTTTTGAAAAGTAAATTTTACTACATGATAATATTCAAAATAACATGCAATTAGGTATTAAGGAATTCAGTAGAGTTCCACCTCCTCCCTCTCTCCACTTTAGTGGTTTCAGTTACCCACAGTCAAGTGGGGTCCAAACATTTAAAACGAAAAATTCCTGAAATAAAGAACCATGTTTTTTGTTTTTTTTTTTTTTGAGACGGAGTCTTGCTCTTCTGCCAGTCTGGAGTGTAGTGGCATGATCTTGGCTCACTGCAACCTCCGTCTCCCAGATTCAAGTGATTCCTCTACCATGTTTTAAATTGAGTGCCATTTTGAGATGTGTGATAAAATCTAATGCCATCTCAGTTTGTCCTGCCCAGGACATAAATCATTAGTTTGTTCAGTGAATTCATGCTGTCTATGCTCCTCATCCAATAGTCACTTACTAGCTGTCTCGGTTATCAGATAGACCACAAGAAGAAGAGTAAGTAAATATAGTACAAGATATGTTGATAGAGGCCACATTCACATAACTTTTATTAAAGTATATTATTACACTTGATTTGTTTAAAATTATTAGCTATTGTTGTTAATCTCTTACCTTATAGTGCATGTAGATTTCAGTACTCCCTGTGGTTTTAAGTGTCTACTTCAGGGTCCTGGACAAATCTCCTGAGAATAAAGAAAGATTATTGTACTCCAAATCACACTCACAGCCTTTGGTGTTTGTTTTATTTTCACCCATTTATATATACTATGAATCTACTTAGTAATAAAGAAATTTCTGGTAGCACAACAGCAACATAAATACCAGAATGTATTTTCTAAGTTAAAATTTCAGTTTCCTACCAAATACCCTAGAGATAAATATACATTTTTTTTCTAGACTTCAAAAAATAATGCAAATTTTAGATTTTCATTGGTATCATTTTTAAGCAGTTTTTTTTTTCTCTTTCTCCATCTTATAATGCAAAAGCCATTAGCCAAAATCTTAATCATATTGGTAATGCCCACATTTGTAGATAAATCTAAAATCTCATAATCTATTTAAGATATGTAACCTTCAAGCTCCAGGAATTCATATCAATGTCACACTAATATTCATAGTGATTAATTTTTGTTGATTTTCTAGTCTATATCAAGAAATATTTTTAATTAACTCTAAAACTAGTCTTTCTTTTATATTTACACTGCAGTGAACACAGATTTTTCAAGGTATTTTTCAATAATAAAACATCAAATTTTGATAATTAAAGTTTTACGTAACAAGCTGAATATATTACAACTATATGTAAATTCCTACTCAATATCTATTTAGAATAATCAGTTTATATTTCTGTGAAATATTCTCATGTATTCATCTAACAGTTACTCATCTTAGATGAACATTATTAGATTCATATTAGATGAATGTTGTTCATCTAACAGTTGGATTACATTAAAAAGTGGTTGACTCTTAGTGTAGCAAACTTAAATTATAAACATAGTTGTAAATTCAACAATATAATCATTTGTGAGGCAATTATTTTATAAAACATGGTAACTTTGCACTATATTACATAAATAATTAAAATCCTCATTTGTAAAAATTGTTATGGTTTGTGATCACAACATTTTATGACATAGATGTTGTCATTACTTTTAATGGCTAAAATTATTCCACTTATAATTCTCACTTATTTTCATTGCAAAATATCTTTACTGTAGAAAATGTTTATATATAATCCATTTAAATGGCTGATCAAGTGGTATATTTTCAAACATTTTAATCTTGCCATTGTCACTGCAATCAACTCTAGAAAAGTTGTTACTTAGATACAGTGTTTTAATATTCTTATTTTGGTTATATGGAAGTAGTACTATTCTAAAACCTTAGTTCTTACTCTTTTAAATAAACTCCTCAAGTCCTAGCCAGTGTTTCTTTTTTCTTTTTCATGAAGTGTTTATTCTTTCAACATTTAGGACAATTTTTGTTCTGTTGAGTATCTTTTAAGTTGTGTAAGAGTTGATGATGAAAATTTCTCAACTAACTAGATCTCCATTATTATTGAATTTAATCTAATGGAAGACTTTTTTCTTATATAAACACATACTACAAATACAGGTTATGAAAGATATACTTTTCTCTTCCTAGCTGAAACAGCTTTATAAATATTGGGGTCTTGGTCTCTGTGCATTCAGTACTTCTCACTTTCATGTAGAAAGAGTAGAAAACTCTTTCAATACTCTAGTTATTTTAATATAGGTTACAATTTTCTGCACCAAATTTATGTAAATATTTTATTTGTGCTTAAGAATTTTGAATTCCAATGAAGGATTTACACTATTACATGACAGTTTCAATAGCATAAAACACAATCTGTAGAAGAATTATTGAGTTAGGTCATTAAAGATGACCACTAGAAAATCAAGGTGCTTCCATTTAAATTATTTATATTAATTCACAAAAAATCTGTATTCCATTTTCTTCTTTTGATATCTTACTTTGTGCATCCTTGAACCACAGATCAGAAATTTTTTTTCTGAAAAGGGACACTTAAATATTTTAAGCTTTGTAAGTAATGTCCCTGTCACATATTCTTTTCTGTTTTTAACAACACTTAAGGTGTAAAAAGCATTTTCCCTTGATGGCAATTGAAAAATAATTCATGTGGTTTGGTCCATGGGTAGCATTCTGCCAAACCCTGATCTAACCAGTGCAAGAATAGTCGTATTAATTTTTATTTATCCTGTATGCTTAGCATTCAGATATTTCTGATGTAACTGAAACAGACACATTAAGTATTATCTACTGTGAACAGTCAACTCATGGTTAAAGTCAAAAGTTGAGCCATCAATGTATAATATATATGAATATGTGTGTATAAAATATATATATGTATATACTAAACACATATATGTATTAAAATAATCTGCAGTAAGCAAAAACAGGGGTATGACAACATTTCTATATGACCTATTTATATAGTGAATTATGTGGACTATAAGAATCCATAGTTTAATTAATGGAAATGTTAATGCCAGCACGTTAACATCCTAGGTTGTGAATAAAAACACAATATATATTAGAATTATATACGTGTCAGAGTCATATCTGCAAGTATAATATATAGGAGTTAATATTTCCTCAAAGGGTCATTTTGAAGATTAGTGGAGATAATGTAGAGAAAAATCACTTAATACTAGGCCTTGGACACTGTAAACGTTTAAAAGTTATCAATTCTTATTTTCTTTCCATAAAAATAAAGTTGAAATGATTGTACAGACTTAATGTCTTATTGAATTGTTTTTGTAGGATGCTATATATACATTTTGAATACATTATACTTTATATGCAAATTTATATGAATCTGAAACCCTTGCAAAAACCCTTCAATTTGCTTCTGGCATTTTTAATTGTGGTTAAATAGCCAGTATACTGCTATTATAGGAATAGAAATACCAGATGTATTTCATCAGGGCACCAAATAAAGTATTTGCACAAGTTTAAATCTATCAATCAATATGAATAGCATTGAATGTACATATAAACGAATGTGAGTAGAATGAGAAGTCCGAGACAGTGTGTGTTGCTGACTTAACAGTTACTGTCTGAGAATGGAAGGATAAAATACAGGCACAACACACAAACTTAAGAAAAAGAGAGAAAGGAAAAAAGAGGAGGAGAAATGAGATAGAGGGAAAGGAAAGAAAAGGATGAGGAGAAGAAATGGGAGAGAGATTAGTAAAAATAAAAATAGTAGTGCATAATTATTAAATTTTACATGAATTAACTTTCAAATAATGACCCAATCAGAAGCTTCTCAAACCAGAAACATCTTAATGAAAGGGGTAGAACTTAATAGAGGACTTGGGGAAAATAGAAACATAAAAGAGACATTAGCTTATAAGAAGGCTGGTAATCATAAAAGGGCAAAGAAAAACTGATTCAAAGAAGAAAATGTGTTTTTTTCAAATTTTCTGGAAGTGTTTTAGAGGAAATGTTAATGCCAGTACATTAACACCCTGGGTTGTGAAAAAAACACAATATACATTAGAATTATATGCGTGTCACAGTCATATCTGCAAGTATAAAATGTAGGTGTTAATATTTCCTGGCAGGATCATTTTGAAGATTAGTTGAGATAATGTAGAAAAAAAGCACTTTTGCTTTGGGAGGCCGAGGCGGGTGGATCACGAGGTCAAGAGATAAAGACCATCCTGGTCAGCATGGTGAAACCCTGTCTCTACTAAAAACACAAAAAAATTAGCTGGACATGGTGGCGCGTGCCTGTAATCCCAGCTACTCAGGAGGCTGAGGCAGGAGAATTGCCTGAACCCAGGAGGCGGAGGTTGCGGTGAGCCGAGATCACGCCATTGCACTCCAGCCTGGGTAACCAGAGCAAAACTCCGTCTCAAAAGAAAAAAAAAAAAAAAAAAAAAAAAAGAAGCACTTTTGAAAGCCTACCAGACTTTTAAAAACAGAATTTAGTTGGAAAATAATTAATAATAGCATCTGTTGTGGTTCTAGAACATAAAGGGTTTGAAGCACTAGCACAGTACCTAGGAAACAATTAGAAAAAAGAAATCACTTTTTTAAATGTTTAGCTTGACGCAAATACCTTAGCATAACAATAGGAATAAAAGAAAGCATTTTTGTCTGGGTGTGGTGGCTCGTGCCTGTAATCCCAGAATTTTGGGAGGTCCAGGCAGGAGAATCACCTGAAATCAGGAGTTCAAGACCAGCCTGACCATCATGGAGAAACCCAACATCTACTAAATATAAAAAATTAGCCGGGAGTGGTGGCACATGCCTGTAATCCCAGCTACTCAGAAGGCTGAGGTAAGAGAATCATTTGAACCTGGGAGATGGAGGTCCCAGTGAGCTGAGATCACGCCATTGCACTCCAAACTGGGCAACAAGAGTGAAACTCCATCTCAAAACAACAAACAAACAAAAACCATTTCTGACTAATTTCTAACTTTAATTGAAACTGAAATGTACTCAGTGTTTTGTAAATCAGAATATTTGCTTTGCTTTGAGTCAAATATTATTACACATTTATGTAGTTCCCTTTCATTCATGTTAGAAATGGTTTATAATTTTTTATTCAATGCTTTCAATATCCAGTGATATACTTAACATTTTATGTAATAAATTATGTTGATTTTTTTTCTGAGTTTGGACCTTCTTGAATTCTCCTAATAAATCCTTGGAGTCACGGTTTATTTGATAACATAGTATTAGATTTTCATTACTGATATTTTATTCATACGTTTTGTATCTATAATTCCAATGTGCTATTTTAAAAAGGCTTATTCAGATATTGGTGTAAAAATCATACTGGAGTATCAATCAGGATAGGCTAATTTGGGAATGTAATAAACAACATTTAAAATACCAGAGGTTTAAAACATCAAAGGTATATCTAGGACACTGCTTTGTGTCACATACTGTAGGGCTCAGACAGAACATTGCTCTTCATTACAGCAGTTGTTGACGTTTCAAAAATATTGTGTGAAGATCATGCCTGAATATTACTGTCTACCCTCTGTTTACCAAGTATTGGCTTATTTGGTTTTCTTTGGCTGAAATACTCTTAGATCCTCCTTAAGTAAACCAATCTCAAAATGTCTAAGAAATAAATCAAGCTTAAATGTAGGATATCTGGTGATATGAAGTAGTTTTACAT